ATGAGACATGTAGTGCTAAATCATTATCTATTATGTTATCTTAGAATGAGACATGTAGTGCTGAATTGTTATCCTATTTGGTAATCTGATGATGAGGCATATAGTGCCGAATTATTATCTATTTGGTAGTATCTCAAAGCATAATTTTATATATTATATATCTTTCTATAATTATTATACCTTGATGTACTACTGCAAGTATACTATGTTTTGGGTCACTAGAAGCCTTTCTCGCATAGTTGGTGCTTTGGAGTATTATCTCTCTATGTAAAAAATTATCCTATGCTTTGTCATTTTACTATCAAAAAATTGGATCATACTTTGTTGTACTACCAATTCGAAAAATTGGATTATACTTTGGCATACTACTGAATCAAAAAATTCTTGTAAAAAATCAGATCATACTTTGGCATACTACCGAATCAAAAAATTGGATTATACTTTTATGTACTACTGATTTGAAAAGTTTATTTTTACTTTTGCATACTAACACATCGAAAAATTTCATGCTTTTGCACCATAATTCCATCACACGAATTTTTAAATTATGCAACACAAAAATGGTCCAAGTACCTTATTATTTTCATGCAATTATTTTTCAATTTGAATTTTTTCTTATACTTATTGTAAGAGATGACAAAAATCTTTTTACCTAAAATAAATGATTAGTTGAATGTAACAATATACTTTCTGTCAGAGGTACACTACTAAACTAGATCATTGATTGATTGAATTAATCAGTAAATTTTGAATTAGTATCAGTAATAGGTATCGAATCAAAGAGTTCTTAAATTTCATTAACTGATTCTGGTTTATATAGTAAAAGAATCAGAGCTCTTGCTTTATTAAAACCAGTTTTACTGTATGGTTTGTGGTCAATCCAATAAATTTGTTTCTATACTTGTTGACCCTTAGGTCCTTTTCTTTTTCGTTTACTCTTGATAGCATAACTGCACCAAGTACCTACTACCGCATTGATGAATTTTATTGTAGCATTGAGATCAGGTGTTTCTTTGGCCCAAGATTTAAATTCAAAGAGTAATAATGCATCTTGTCGAATTTTAATAATTTTTTCTTGCAATTTTTCGAATGCTTTTGCCATATCATCATCTGAAAGAATGCACTTATCATCTATGCTAGTAAAATCCAATGATTGGAAAAAGTTATGAACAACTTCCCATTGTTTTACTAAATAATATTTATGCAAATTATTTGAGGCCAGATTCAAAGAATCTTGTGATTACTCCTATTGTATGGTTTCTTTGAATTTTAAATTTTTTAAAGCTTTTATCACATTAGAACCTTGTCTTTGGAAATAGGCAAGTTTTCTAAAATATTGTAAAGGTTTGGAATTGTTGAATATTTTTACAAAATCTATATCACAGAGTTTAACCTAATCAGCATTATCCATGCCCTAATCTCAAGAATCATTCTTACCTCCTATGTCACTTGAAGCATAAATTTTCTATAAATAATGCTATTGTAGAATCATATTATTAGTAAAAGAACATATAGGATTTAGCTTAAGCATTTTAGCTTCATTGAGACTAATATCTAGGGAATTAGCTATTAATTCAGCATTAGCAACTTTGATTTTTTTGCAACTTTCTTGATTGTATTAGATACTTCTATATGAGTAACTTTTGCCAAGCTGGTCTTTTCTATTGTAATTAACTCAAGAAATGCTCCAGTACTAGCAATAAGACTACAAAGAATTTCTGGAAAGTATTTAACTGATAAACGTCTTTGATATTCAACCTCTATATAAGTCTCTACTGCTGGAAATGAATCAAGTCCATAGCAATCAGAAATTTTATTCCATTTATAATGTCCTTTTACTGCTGTTGGTAATTCCCAGGTCTTAAGGCTGAAAGTTCTGCATGAATAAGGTCACGATTTGGTTCTTTAAAAATGTCAGGTTTTTGCTATTGTAAAGAGAGATAGCATGATATAGACAATCACGAATTCGATAAAGCATTTGTGCAAAAGCTTCAATATAAACTTCTGTATTGATATTACTAATTGCTATTATTGTATCGAAATAATTAAAAATTTTAAAGAAGATACCAGCTTCCACAGTGCTTGTATAAATTATGCAATCAAGACCACTCCAGGTTGCATTAATATTAGCAAAATTCTCTTGACATTGTTTTCTATCCATTTGACCAAAATAAACATGTGTCAAAATAGATGAACTGTCAGGTTTTTGCAACTTAGATGCTTAATTAGCTAAAGCTTGAGCCTTTTTACAACTTGTCATAACAAAAGCAATATGCTTACCTTCTTGAATCATTTTAAGACCATTATGCATAGTTTCTGAACTTTTATCTGGGTTATAAAGAATTTTAACAGTCTCATCTATGCATAGTTGATATTTGTTATCAAAAATTTGTATATTTTTATCTCAATAAGCTTTGAGAAAGGCTAATGTTAACTCGTTTCCAAAAGCATCCATAGCTATAATGTGAACAGCAAACTTCAACAAATCACATATAGCATTTTCTAATTCTCAGGCATGGATCCTACTGGACATTTGACACATGATAGCATTTGCTTCATCTAAGATAACTATATAAGAATGACCTTCATAAAAAGAAAGATGGTGTGTACTTTCGACCTGAACAATAATAACATTCCAGTCATATATAACTAAATCACTGCCATTTTCTTGATAATAGCATATATGAAGTCCTAAATTTTGTAATATTTCAACTTTAGCTTTAGTCTCATTGCTAAAAGTTTTATGATATGAAATCCAGTTAAAGCAAGGTAAATTCGCTTCACTTTTGGCTAAATAATTAAGAATCTCTCTTAAAGTTTTTGTTTTCTCTGTAGCAACAGATGAACAAATTAAGGTTGTAGTGGGTTTCTTATTCGAAAAATCTGGATAAGCTTCTGGTGCATCTTCTATCTCTTTAACATTAATATTTTTTCCAAATAAATCTACAAGTAGGCATAAATGCTTTACAATATTGATTATTCTTTCACTTAATCTCCATTTAGGTCTTGGTAGATTATTAGTTACTTCACCAAATATCAATCCCTTGTGATCTGGCTTATATTGTTTATGCTGAAAACATTTGAGTATAAAATGCTTATCTTTTAGAAGAAATCCATATAATTGATCCCTTTCATGTCTAACTTCATAAATAGGACATTCTTTAGATAATTGTGCTTGAAAGTTAATTAATCCTTTTTCAATTTTTCTGATCTTAAGTCATTTATATTTTGCAATAACCAAATTAGATCCTGTAACTAAAGCATCTTCATCTTCGATAGTTTGGAATTTTTCCTCTGCAGACTTCTCAGAAGAAAAGGTTCGTGGCCAGATTACAGAACAATTCGCTTTAGGCTGAACCAAATAATCTTCTAACTTGTGAAATCTATTTTTAGCTGAAGAGATCACAGGTCTTTTAACTTTGTCTTCTTTTGCTAATCCAAGAAGTCGAAGACTAAAATGTGACTTGGAAAGGCCAATATCAATAAACTTCGAGTCAGATTTTTCTACCAATTTAATGACTTTTTCCATAAAGCCTTTGAGATCTCTATAATCAATAAATCGTGCATAAGGGTAAATAATATGTCAGCTACATTTATCAATATTTGATGAACTAGCTAAAGCAAAATTATTTAATGAAACCATACATTCTGATATAAAATACAATGCATCTGCACAGGAAATAAAATTCTAAACATCAAATCTTCATGAGTAATTTTTTCACCATCTAAAGAAGGAAGTTCTGGAGGATCTGGTTTTTGCCTTGCATCAATTTCCAATATAGGATGAAGTGGCTGGTTCCTGTCAATGCATTCATGTGCATCAGGTATTTTATAAATTTTAGAAGGATGATCTATTGCTATAAAGCCTTTTTCTACAACCTGAATTATATATTGAGAATTAATCTCTTCTGGATGATATGCCTTCAAGAGTGCTATATTCTTTATATTATCTTCCAAAATAAGTTCACCCTGTGCATTAGATAGAAGCAAATATTCAAAATACCTATGTTTTTCATGGCCAGATTTGTAATTAAGATCAGTTAAACCAGAGAGGAGTTTCTTTGCCTTACTATATTCAGCCAACTTTTGATTCAAGTACTGTTATTGTAATAATTCATAAAGATATTTTTTTGCTTTACTAGATAAACTTATTTTATTGATTTGTATATATGCGTTGTTTGTATATGCATGTTGTTTGATCTAACAAAAAGTATATGTTATTAAAACTTTATTAATTGGTAGATAAATCTTTAAAATAAAATTAATTATTTCAGAAATTTTAGCTAGATGCCAAAAAAATTATATATTTGATAGAAGTAATTATTATATATAATCATGATAATATTATACCATTGCTCATATATTTATAGAACTGGAAAAATCTGTAGTTGATATAGTAAATCAGAAAGATGCTATATTCATTGTAATTCTCTAATACCTACTCCTTGTAGAGATTGTAGTGAGCCAAATAGGTCTAAATATAATGCATGCAATAAACACATGAGAAAATATAAAAGTAAAGAGAATTATGACAGAAAAAAGCAGAATGAGTTATGTGCACAAATTACTAAGTTTAAGAATTATATATCTGACTTTCCCGATTCTATGCACGAAGTTTAATCATATACTGGCATATATATATATTGATTATTTTTTCCAAGATCTCTTATTTTGGAAAAATGGCACTTATATGCCTAAGTAATACTATATTCTCTTTGATTTCATTGATATTTTTAGTAATTTTATTACGTAGAGCTATAGATTCCAAGATTTTATTTCAGGAAAATAGCACTTCATGCTTGATTGAACTTATGTCCATTTTCTGATAGAATTACAATAACCATGACCCATTCAATTTTTGGTATAGCAATACTAATCCACAGATAATTAATTTTGATTTGAAAAAATATATATCATAGTTATAGTCCACACAAATATCCCAATCAACAATGTCAAAAGTTGTAATAAATTTCATAAATTAGTATAACTTAACCTCCCAAATGAGCATAGCTGAACTTAGCAATTATGCTGAAGAATTGGTTAAACATTTGAAAGATGCAAAGGCCCATGACCATGCACAAAATCAGATCCAGAAATTAGAATTTAGTAAAGATCAAACATATGCTTTAATTCCTATCCAAACTTCTGGAAGACGCATTACAGATTGAGATCTGGTTAAGAAACTTGCTTTGTATATTAAGGAAAATGAAACCAATCTTGAACCCAAATGGATAAGTGAATTGGCCCATAATTTGGCAAAAATAGGACCCACTATTATAGCTCAATCTTCTCTTCTTAAATTGCTCTAGAAAAAATTATGCAACTCAATGCCAATTACATTACATTAGAAGCTATATATAATCCAGACATTACTCGAAGATCAAATAAAGAACAAGTGATAAATTAGGAGCTCTGTGAAGATGAGAAATACGATTGTCCTGAATTCTTTTACTTGGAAAATGTTCAGAAAAGACTTAAGGATTGTAATATTACCAATTCCCCTACAATGCAAAATTTAATAGATATAATGATAATGTTATCTATGAGGTTAGCAGATGTTGCAAATCTTCGTATTGATTACTATAAACCATCTAATGCTGATTGGTATGATCCTAAATATTCTTGGTACTGTACTGGATATGCAAAAAATAAACAAGATGAATCTAGACCATTAGTATCTATGAAAAAAGATTCACTACTGGCTAGAGAATTACTTATTTGGATCCAGAAAGCAATTCCTAACTAATTCCCATTTTTAATAAGAGATAAAGATGGTGATGTAAATGTTCATCCAATTAATAATTTTCTAGTAATTTTAGAATAAGCTCATCATATTTAAGAAAAATAAGATCTGACTATGCTATTATAATCCATGAAAGTAAGACTTGTTCAAAATGTAACCATCTTTGTAAGTTGGCATTAAGACACAAAATAAATTGAGAAACATCAGATTATTACAGTATAATGAATAACAGACTGAATACTCCAGCACCTAAACAAAAAAATAGTGAGATCGAGGATATCATCGATTTATATAGAGAAATTTCTGATGATGATAACTAATTATGCTTCTTTACTTTTATCACATCTACAGAAAATCTTCATCATCATTAGACAATTCAGAGCTCAATTCAGACCCAGATAAAGATTAAATTTTTTATATGTTTTTAGACATTAGTTCTACTATTTACAATTGTCAGTAAAGATCAAGTGATCCTCTTATACTAATTAATTCATAAATGAATGAATCATCAAATCCAAAATAAGATTTTATAAAATCTACAAATTGGTTTGTTAATATGAAAATATATTATAAAACAGAATAAATGAATAATAAATTTCAAAAACTTATCTGGTTAAAGTTCAGATAAATATATTGATTTAAATATTATATCTGTTTATTTTTTAGCTATCAAATAATTCCAGGTAGTAAAAAAATAATATATAGTCAGGTAAGTATGAAATGATAAGAAAAATTTTCATCATTAACCAACTCATCATAACTTATACTATGAGTAATGAACCATTTAGTGAAGAAAAACTTACCAAAAAATACTTCAAATGAGCAGAATTATCAAAAGCCTTAGGAATAAATATCTAAAAATATCATCCAAACTCTCTCGCAAGTAATATCACAATACCAGAACTAGAGAATTGTTATAAATGTAATGAAGAAATTTTGTTAAATCCACCCAAAGCATTTACTATACTTGTGTATAATCATATACTCCATCATAACTGTCTTGAAAAAAGTAATAAAGATAAGCAAAAAACTTGTCTCATTTGTTTTGTAGATAATGAAGGAACAGCATTAGCTAAAGTTCAGAACATAGATATGTCAAAGACAGTGAAAGATGAAGGTGAAGAAACCTCTAATCTAACAGGGATAGTAAGTAAGTTATCTGTAAATAATGGTAAAACTATCCTATAAAGTGAAACAAAATCCATGGAACCTAATAAAGTACAAGATTTAATAAAAAAACTATCTATACCAAGTGAGCTGATTGATGATAATAATAGAGGAAATAAGATCAAAGAATCAAAACCAATAATTTTACTCCAGTTATACTATAATGCAAACCAGACAGAAAAATATGTAATCCATGTCTACCAAGAAGAAATAAGATGCTGGTATTTGTTTGCTAAAAAATTTGAAGAAAGAGTTAAAGAAATAAAAAATGATAACAGTAGGTACAATGATTAACAAGCTAGAGGGTTAGTATATGGCAAAGTTGCAACCAATCTTCTGGGATTTACAAAAGATAGTTTGCATAAAAAAACTGCAAAGGCTAGAAATATCTACAAGTTGTTTGGAGAAAGTTATGACCCTGATATCAAAAAAATAGTTAAGGGGATAGGAATTGAAAAAATTGAGAGAATTTGAACATATAATGCTGATTATATTTCAAAGCTCAATTCTACACAAATTTATAATATTATAAAGCATTTTAATTAGTGCAGATCGTGTCCTCCAAGTTGACGCCAACATGATATAAATATTTTTTTATTAGTAAATCATATATACATATAATTACAGTATATAATTTAATTCATAATAAAGTTTATACATACTGTGACGACGAATACGTATTGTGATACGTACCGAAGATCGTGACTGATCACGTGAAAAATGCATGAAATGCAATAAATGCAATAAGTGCAATAAATGTAATAAGTTACATTTTAGATCAGAAAAGGTATTTCGGGTAGATAAGGAATAAAAGGAGGAAATAACAGATATTAAATAAATCACTGTAATTAGTTTAATTAGTTTTAATGGATAAGTCGCATTTGTAAGTGACGAATTTTATATTATAAATAAAGGCCAAAATGGCCCTTTGGAAAAGTACGCTTAGTTTGCTTTATTAAACAATAAAATCCCAATACCCTACATTGTACTTAATAAACACTAACACTATTACCATTACACACCCTGTGAACCCCTAATAATGTCGCTGTTCAACTCTTGACCACGTGACTGACCCTACTTGCATTTGTTGACCCAAAGTAACCGAAAGCCTTTCTTGCCCACAAGCCAAATCTAACACCCTCTTTCGAAAAGGTTACTTATTGTACGTTATGCGAGGTTTAGAATTTTGAAGCAACCGAGTCGCAAACTTCCGAACCCAACAATATGTATTAGAGCATGTGCACCAGTGTGTATATGAGTTAGGAAGATTGCATTTAAAGCAATTAGTATTGGTAAAGATATGAGGATATCTGTTATAAAGAAAGAATTAAGTAGATAGCTCGTTTAGTAAGAATTTAGATTTAAAAGCTTTGAGTTGATTAAGTTTAAAGCTAGTATAGAAAGATATAGATTTTTGGTTATGATTAAGATAAAACCAAGAAAAATTTCAGTCTATGAGGTGGTTTAGATGAGACTATTTACTGTTTCTTTTTTGTGAAGACCACATTATTAGTATATATGCTTTGCATATATTTTTAATAAAATATCTAGTTGGTAGTTCGATGAAGTTTTGTTTCTATTGAAAGATATGATAAGAGTTATAAATATTGATATAATTAAAGATAAGAGGTTGAAGAAGTATATGTTGTTTTGCTAAGGAGTCTGCAAGGTTGTTAAAAGGATTATTAGTATAGGCTTGAACTTTGTAAAAGATAATTTGAAGATTAAATGATTTTATAATATTAAATAAGGTATGCCATAAGGGCCATGTGCTAAATTTAAATAACTTGTTAGAGTTTTGTAATTGGTTCGATAATGTATAAAATTTTGAGATAACAGATTGTAAGTCTGTGTATATACTAATAGATGAATTGCGGGGTGTAATAGATATTGTAGATATAATTGAGACTAATTCAGCTTTATAAGAAATCACCATAAATGAACTTGAGCTGAAAATTTGTAGATAATTTGATTTTGTTTATTAATTTGAACTTATTCAATACTCATAGAACATTGTTCTAATCCAATATCAATAACAGAACTATTAGTATGGAAAATAAAGTTATTATTTGTAGAATTAGATAAATAAATATCTTGAAGCTCGGAGTGCAGCATTTGGTTTAAAGATTTCTAAAATACTAGAGTTGTGTATAATAATATTAGGAGGTATAGAAGGTATGTATAAAGGATGTTTGATAGCTGTTAAGTATATAAGATCAATGTAATTGGCATTGAGTTTAAGATTGTTGGAGATTTTTCTAGCTAGAAATGTTGCAGAAATAATTGCTGATGTGTTAATAGTACATATTTGGTTAATTCTGTTTGAATTA